CTTCTACTCCTACTCCTACTCCTCCTGCTGCTGCTGCTGCTACTGTGAGTATTGCTCGTACTCGTTGCAGTGCCAAACTAGAATTGTATCGCTCATATAGTTCCTTGTTGTGAGGGTTGAAGAGTAGGGTTGCAGGGCAGTGCTATGGTCTCACGTCCTTGCTGAATCTTACAACACTCTTCGGGCTGTGATGATGATGATGGTGATGGTGATGATGTTTGAGGGTTCACTGTTTGCGGGGCTTTGCACATCGCTTTTGGGAATCTTGGGTGTGCTAAACGCTATACCCACAACCGATCATAACCCAGATCCCTCAAATCCTACATGGCGCCTGCGTGAGGGACCCCTCATCGAGCTGCATCCAAAGATCGGCTGGGAGACCTTCTCGCTCTATGCGATCCTACCGGCCGCCATCTTCGTCTCCTACCGCTACGTGCTGTCGGAGGCCAGGTTATGGGGTTTAGGGTTTAGGGTTGAGGGGCTTTAAAGTGCAAGGTCTGTCTCTCTCTCTCTCTCTCTCTCTCTCTCTCTCTCTGCCACTCCTCTGATCTAGTGCTGGTAGGCAGTACTAGAGGTGTTGTCAATGTTTTCTGGTCGTGATGAGTAGGATTTGTATGGCTGGTTTGTGTTTGTTTCCGCTTCAGCTTCTGAACTTGTAGTCATTGCTAGCGGTACTACGATAACCCATTCTTTTCTTGCAATTCTGGCTGTTGCTGCTGCCGTTTGTGCTGGTAGTCGTCATCGTCGTCGTCGCCGTCCTGGTGGTGGTGGTGCTGGTGGCAACGGTGGTGTTGCGGGGAGAGCAGCAGCGGTGATTGTGTCAGAGGCGATGCTGCGGCAGCAGTGAGGCAGCATAACGCGTAGCACTTTGCCAGCAGAATGAGCTTTAGCAGTTGCGGACGCAGCGTCAGCAGTAGCATTGGCATCGTTTGTATCGTATTCAGCATTGCCTGCTCTTTGTGCTTAGACTGAATTGCCAGCCTGACATTGTCAACTTTCGAACCAGCATCACCGCCGCCACTGCCACCATCATCATGCGCGTTGTGCCGGTTCCACGTCGGTTCTGAGAAGTACCGATGCTGCAGGTGCTGCTTCGAACACCGTCTCTGACACATGCACAGCATTATAACGACGATTGTAATGTCAACATAGCCAAGATGCTGTGGACAAACTGCCAGACCTTTCCCCCAGCAGGCACTCACTTCATGCCATTTTAATTCTATTCGTGTTTATTCTTAACTCGCCTGGATTGTCCGAGTGTGCGCGCCGAAACCTTAAACTTGAGACTGCATGATTCTTACCCTAACCTAAGTGTCCAAGTACCTAGCCATCATATACTCTCCCACATCTTACACAAATTTAGATAACTGTTATCCGTAACCAAAGCTCTATATTTCTGGGTCCTTTGGACCCTTAGGGGCCCACCCCTTGAGACTGTCTCATCCCGCAGGCCTTGGAGGATGAGAACGCGCCAAAGCTCTTGCAGTTCACCCCGTTCCTCCTGAGCTTCCTGACCATCGAGCTCCCGCAGGATTTCTGGGTTTTCTTGTTTTTTTGGGGTTCCCTGACATGTCTATGTAGAGTATAAGAACCCCCGAAAGCCTCTGCTGCTCATTATCGAGTCTCCCCTGTATGATGGTGCTGCAGCCCGCAGGCCATGGGCATCTACATCGCCACGAACATCGCCTCCTCTCTGGCCCTGACGACCTACACCAAGAACCAGATCTCCAGCCAGATTCCAGGCCCTAAGACCTAAACCCGAAAGCCCTAAACCCACTTAGTCTCACGGTTTGAATCGTGAGGATTCTGAGATTGCCCTTTACCCGAGCCCGTCCCCGGTGTCTCCATGACTCTATGGGCTTGATTCTACTCAAAGGAACCCTAGGGCAATCTTCAAGCGTAGATGTTGACGCCCAGACCTAGTCAGGATGAATCAAACTGGATCTCAACGAGAAGACGACCCTCCTCACTTTAGAGGTTGTATATACCTTATTGTCTTTGTATCAACAGCGTCTTGAAGTGGCTGATTGTTTCACGTTGTTATATGCCTCGCCTGGAGTGTCCGAGTGGGAGCGCCGGAACCCCTAAACCCCTAAAGTTATGAATGTGAATTTGAGCATGTACGATGATACTTGAGGATGTAGATAGTAGTTCTCAGGGCAGACTGTTTTGAAACAGCTGGGTGATGCTGCTGAACAGCGGATAGGCCTTTCAAGCCTCACGGCTGACATGCAACCTCTGATTGATATTGATATTGCTACTGTTTTTCTCTTTTTGTTTAGTATCCTTATCTCTTCTCTGATTTGTATGCTTCGATCAGTTGGTTGCCTGTCATGCCTGCTTCGAGCGAGTGTGAGCGCCGAAACCCCTAAACCTCTAAACCGAGTCCAGGCTACGAGGAGTTTGTGAAGACGGGCAAGTGGCCCCCAGGAGTGGACCCCGAGAAAGTCTTGGCCAAGGCCCACCGCAACTGTCTCACTCTCTTTAGGGTTTAGGGTTTAGGGTTTAGGGTTAAGGGTTTAGGGAGGGCTTAGGGTCTTTCTTCTTCTTTCTGTGTCGCTGTCTCTCCCACTCTATACAATGCAACCACTCTAAACAATGCAACGAACAGTCCTGGTCCACTTTATTCCGCGTATGTAAGTGCTATATACCTGGGTCGAGTCGACAGGGAGACCGAACCACGTGTGTCTATACGCATGGACGCGTGAATACATGGACGGTTGTGGCATCCATGTATGTGCGCCTTCTTATATGCAGGTGTGAAGCTCTACGTGCATGCATGCGTATGCACACGTGCATGCATGTTTGAGCTTGGCTGAGTGCGTATGTGCTGCGTGTGTGCCGAACTTGCAGCATGGCCGTCTGTCCCTTACGGTTCGTTCGCACTTGATTACCTGTCCGCCTGTTGCAATCTCTGAGTATACATGTGCTGACGTATATTGTTAAAACTCTCCATGCCATTCTTTATTGCCTGGCTTTTTGTACAGTCGTTCATTGATCCTACATCGACGGATCCATACAACATGGGACCCGCGCATCAATAGCAGGCCTTCGGCGTCAAGCGCCTCACGGCCCAGCCAGAGGACCCGCAGAGTGTTCCAGAGGCTGGTCACCAGGGGTCCCGATGGGTATGCGACTGTTGATGGCGAAAACTCTGCAATTGCTTTCAGTACCCCGTTAGCTCTGGTAGTTATCTCGACCTATAAACCCTAAACTTGCCCTAAACCCTAAACCCTAAACTCCCTAAACCCTAAACTCCCTAAACCCTAAACCCTAAACCCTATAAGCCCTAAACCCGAAACCTGCAGAAATCGCAGAGGCTTTGGAGCTTCTGCGGGGGCATCGGCTGAAACCTTAAGCTTCGACTGATCCTACTTGCCAGGACCCCTCAAATGGGGGTATATGGTCCCAAATTGAGGGTATTTAGGGTCTTTCGAGGGTAGATGGAGGGTCTAGGTGCAGTACTCTTATCCTATTGTACTTGCGATCGTTACGTTTTGCGACCGTTTTTGGCCAGGACGATGATGATGACATTCCTAGCGACGGGACGTGTGCTCATGAGATTTCTGCCATGTAGGCCATTCAGCTTCTAGTCTACGGTGCTCCGTATTTCCTTCCCGGATGACCACAGACATCCCCACAGCAAGCAAGCCTCCATAATGCCACATCCTCTTCTGAAACCCACCGCGCGCCTCAACCCTGAACTTCACTCCCCAAGCCTCAAACCTCAACCCTGCAACCTTAAAGCCCCAAGCCCTACACCCTAAACCCCTCAAGCGCGGGTCCAAACCCCTTAACCCTAAACCCCTAAACTCAAAGCCCTCGCTCTCAAACCCCGACTTTCCTAGGTAGCATTAGGGAGACCCCTAAAAGGGGGACCCTTCTGAACCCTACTTTGGGCTCTCTTAAAAGGGACCTTATTGAGAGGGTCTATATCCCCAAGGGTCCCCCTAATCCTACCTCCTAGACTTTACGCATGGAAGCTTCGGTCAGCCTTTGGGCTGCAAGGCCGTCTTCGCCGGACGCGCGGACCACATTCCCACCTTGCTGGAGCTTTAGGGTTTAGGACTTAGGCTAGGGTTTAGGGCTTAGGACTTGGGCAAAAGGGCTAGGGTTTGGGGCTCAATTCCGTTCTGGTCCAGTCAAAAATCCATTCCGTTTCTTCCAGTGCCACTACATTCTGTTCCGTGCTCCTTTCCCAGTGCTGTGTTCTATGCCCGCGTTGCGTTGGACACTGGACCCATTTAGAGTCGAGCATACCTGGATGTTGGCTGTTTGCCGAGGTAAACCATCCTCAAGGGCCAGAGGATTAAGGGAAGGCTTAAAAGCATAAGCAAAGAGCCGAATACCCACTTAAACGAGACTATACCTCACCTCATACATAGTACTACATAACATGTAGCCGCCCATATGTTAACGCACATTCCTTTTATTGCGGGGTACTAGGCTCTCTAAGACCCTTCAAAGTTCAAGGCTTGGTAGACCGGGGCATCGTGAATCCCTTTTCGCACAGACTTGTACATGCCCGCCTGGCTCACGAACCCCAAACCTTTTTTTTGAACCCAGACTCTGCTGAACGCGGAACGTGACGCCGATCGAAATTTAAGCGGGCTTAGTTGATGTAGTGCAGTACATTGGCAGTCAGTAGAGATGCTAACACCATGTGCAATCCGTGTAGCAGGTTGCAGTGTAGTCTTAGGGTCACAGCAATGCCATGATATGCGTCAGTGTGAGTGTTCGCGCGTGCCACATCTTCTCACATGGTGCGGTGCCATCCCAAGCCCTAGAAAGTTCATGCTCTGCGACGATACGATTCAGCACCCTGAGCTGTGGGATCCATGGTATACCCGGCACAATGACCATGGACACAGCAACAGGACCGGCATATTCTGAACCCGAAACTCCGAACCTAAACATCAGCAGTATCGTGTCTCAAGACCGTCCCCCCCTCTGCTCAACCGCCTCCGTGGGTTCTGATGTGCAGGAGGAAGGGCGGAAGATCGACGAGTTTGATGATCGGGGAATCCCTGCAAGCATGTGCCCTCTCAAGGGAGGGAGGCTTCAGGGTTTCAGGCTTTAGGCTTAACTTCCGAGTTTTGGAAGCTTGAACCTCAGTACGACCGAGTCAGCTAAGCGGGTGTGAAGGAAGCCTGGGCGTGGCCTTCCGGTCTCAAGGGCTAGGGTCTGTTTGTTCCCGAGCCCAAAGATAAAGCTCTGATTCTTAGACTCGCCCTATACGTAGCCCCACATGGAAAGGTCCACCCTAGACCCTCAACGCTGCAAGCCCGAAGCGGCTCAAGCCTCTACCGTGGTCGCGGTCATGGTGGCTTCGCCCATAAGCCGAGCTGCTGTGTGGACCACCCCTAAACCCTAAACCC